TATTTTTTTTTTAAATCTATATATTTTTATTTGTAACATTTGTGCTTATAGAATACTTGTTTTACCATTTTATATTTTGAATACTTCCAATGTACAATGATTTATGGTACATTACACATGTTTCGAAGAAATTTGGTAAAATAAAGTCCTTTAGATAAGAAATTTGGAGGATTAACTATGTCTGTTAGCTCATAAACCAGTTGTGGAGAAAGTTGAGATGCTTAAGAGAATACGCCTATCTGCAGCTGTTTTCAGAAGTTTCCACTTTCTTGGGCTTTCTCTTTGCACTGATTTTGGCTCTTTCTGTTCTTTTGAAACAGTGATCACATGGAAAACGTGTATGGCTACTTAATGAAGTACACCAACCTTGTCACTGGGTGGCAGTACAGGTGAGTGGTTGTTTATGTCCCCTTAGCCTCTAGGAGACAGAAAATCGGGCTGATGGTTTTATTTTCTGGTATAAAGATGTGACGTAACAGACACGATGGGGCAACCTGCTAGAGAAGGAGGCTGTACCCTGTTTTCTCCTGTTTCTGAGAGGGTGGAGGAAGAGGCAGCCCCACCTGCTTCTGTGGTACTGCTGCTTTAGGTTGGTCGCCTGCCTGCGCCTGTTAAACACGCCTGTTACCCGTGGGTTCTCAGAAGCAGGGTTTTGCACTGGATTCCTAAAGCATGTCTGGAGCCCTAGAGAGACTAACGAACCAGCCTCAGGACACGCCGGTCAGTGTGGGGAAGGCAGGCCTCGGTACATAGTGGAAGTGATATTTCCACAGCAGGGGCATTAAGCTTTCATTTTTTATTGTGATCAAATACACATAAGGCTTGCCACTGTAACCTTCCTAACTATATAGTCCGATGCCATTAAGTAGCTGTACATTTTTGTACAACCGTTGCCAGCAGCCATCTCTAGAACATTTTCATCTTCTCACACTGAAGCTTCACAACTGTTACATCACACACACACACACACACACACACACACACACACACACACCTCACACCCCCAGCATGGACCTTCTACTTCTCTCTGGTATTTGCCCTCAGGGACTTAGCGTGACGTGATCAGGGCTGCTCCGTGTTCTAGAGCTTTCCCTCTTAGTACTGAGTAGTCCCAGTGTGTGCCTGTCACACGGTTTGCAGGTCTGAGCACCCGTGGCGGCCATTTGGTGCTCCTGCCTGTGGCTGTGTGAGAATGGGCTGCGATGTTGATGTACCAGCTTCTGCTCCACCTCTGCTCTTTTTTCATGTATACTCAGAATTGAGCTACCATGGCATATAGTATTTCTGTGCTTTTTTGTTAACTTTTTTTTTTTGTGTGTGGAGCAATTCTTGCTGTTTCCCAGACTGGCTGTGGACTCCTCAGCTAAGGCATCCTCCTGCCTCATCATCCCAAGTAGTGAGTACTCTAGGTACATGCTGCTGTGTATGGCTTACTATATTTCACTGTTTCAGGAAACCCCATACTGTTTTCCACAACAGCTGAGCCACTTGACACCCTCACCAGCAGTGCACAAGGGTCACCATCTCACTGTGGCCTCAGCAGCATTTGTAGTTTTTCTTTTATTTTTTTTTTCCCCCCTTGATACCCGGAATCCAACTCAGGACCTTGCGCTTGCCAGGCAGGTGGTACCGCTGACCTCATCCTCAGCCCGTGTAATTGTTTCTTTTGTTATTTTAAAATAATAGCCATCTTCATAGTGTAAGGTGCTATCTTCTTGTGGTTTTTAAACTTTTTTAATTGTTAAACTAGACCTTTTGAGCTGAGTGTGGTCACGTACACCTGTAGTCTCAGCACTCTGGAGGCTGAGGCAGCAGGATCACCACTGGTTCAAGGCCTAGGGCTGGAGATTTAGCTCATTTGGCACCTCACCTGCCTGGCAAGCATAAGATCCTGAGTTTCCAGTATCAAAAAAAAGTTCAAGGCCAGCATGGGCTGCATAATGAAAATGAGTTTGAGGCCAACCTGGACTATGTAGAGACCCTATATCAAAAATAAAAACAGGGCCCAGGATTTAGCTCAGTGGTTCTGCTGCCTGCCTCGCCAGTGCAAGGGACTGAGTTTGATCCCTGGTACCCCTCCCCCAAAAAACTAACTTTGAACCCAAATAATTCTGCCTCCAGAATATGATTTTGTTTTTGTTGTTTTGTGCTGAAGATTAAACCCAGGGCTTCAAGCATGCTAGGTAAACACTGTAGCAAAAGCTATATCCTTAGCCTTTTTTACTTTGTTTTGCTGTATTTTGCAGTAATGGTGATTAAACCCACGGAGCACTGAGCTACATCCTAGCCCTCTTTATTTTTTTTTATATTTTGAGACAGGATTTCGCTAAGTCCCTAAATTTCTCAGCCTGGCTTCAATCTTGAGGTTCTCCTGCCTCAGGCTTTCTGAGTAGCTAGACTATAGATGTGAGCTATTGTCTGCTCACAAGTCTATTTTTGTAGGCAAATTATTTTTACAAAGCTATGTGTCCTATGTCATGCTGTTTTTAATTTTCAAACATGTCATTTGGAAAGTTCTGCTTTGGGCCATGATGGAATAACAGGAAGTGAATTTGCCTTTCTACTTTCAATGACTGGAAAATAGGAATAATACATGAAGGAGAAGTTTTCAGACTTCAAAGAAAAGTGGAAGTATTAGTGAAAATGCGAGGGGTTTTTTTGTTTGTTTTGTTTTAAGAAAAGCAGTTCAGGTCCTGTTCAGTTCGTTACAGCATTAGGAATTGAGTAGTAATTTTGGTTTGGGGTTTTTTGTTTTTTTTGTTTTGGTTTTTTGTTTAGTGCTGGCGGTGGTGGTTGTTGTTGTTTGTACCAGGGATCAAACTCAGGTCCTTGTACTTGCGAGGCATGTGGCGGAACCACTGAGCCAAATCCAGGGCCCCAGGAGTCAATTAGTGACGACTGCAGGAAGTTGAAGGTCCTGGGAAAGGTCCAAGCTGGGTATAAACCTCAAGAGGGAGTTGCTCCTACTGAAGTGAAAGGGTAGTTCTCTAAAAACTAAAAATTCATGCCAAGGGGTCTTTTCATTCTGCACTTCCACTTCAGTTATGTAAGTTTTTGAATATTTATATTATAAAATGATGTACAAAATACTGATTTTGGGGGCCGGGGATGTAGCTCAGTGGTACCACCGCCTGCCTCACAAGTGAAAGGACCTGAGTTCCATCCCCAGTGCCAAAAAATAAACAACAACAAATTGATTTTTAAGATTTGTGCTCAGCCTAATGGCACTCAGGAGGCAGAGGCAAGAAGATTGCAAGTCTGAAGCGATCCTGAGCTACCTAGTAAGACCTAGTAGGACTTTCCTGTTGCTTTTTCCTGAGCCCTGTTCGTCATTCTCCTTTGTACAACTTCCACTCATCCAGCGTGATTAGGAATTACTGAGCAAGCCTTACACATGGGACACAGGAAGAAAGGCCCAGACAGCCCCAAGCCGCTGCCTCAAAGGGAGGAAGGTGTTGTGTCGCCACTTGGGAACCTTCTCCTCTCCTCCCTTCTCCCAGAGCTGTGCAGGAGCGTGGTTAATGAAGACCCCGGACATCAGAGCAAAGCACATGGCTGCTGTTCCCCCCAAACCTGTGGCTGAGGATAATTTTTGTCATCTTGAGATTTGCTTCCAAGTCAGTTAGGATAAAGTTGAGTTTGACAATATTGAAGTTGGGGACCTGTGTCAAAGATGAGCTATTTCTCCCAGCCGGCAGTCTGTGATTTCCAAATTGCAAACAAAAGGAATGATATGCCATTCTTTTTTGTTTTGATTTGTTTTTTGAGGCAGGGTCTCACTATGTAGTTGAGAATGACCTGGAACTCACTGTGTAGCCCAGGCTGGTCTCAAACTCACGGCAATCCTCCTTCCTCAGCCCCCCCCAGTGCTGGGATTACAGGCATGTGCCACCACGCCTGGCTTGATATGCCATTCTTAACCAGATGTTCTTTTAACACACTTGGTGAATTGTCTGTGCGCAGATTCTGGTCAGTGCCTCAGTCTCCCCGTCAGACTTCAGCCCAGCGGTTCGGCCAGCCAGCTGAAAAGGCCTGGCTCAGGAGTGCGGTGCCTGGGCTGGGGAGCCCTGCTACCTGCACACTCATGGTCAGCTGGCTTGGTGAGCGAGTGGTGACAGCTGGGCTCATACAGAAAGCAGGCAGTGCTGGCTCACTGGTCCCGGCGGACCCCTTTCCAGCATCATCTTCTCTGTACCTGGGCGAGGGCTCCCATGCTATCCTGTGTGGTGATGCTTAGCTCTAAGACAAGTGCGTTCATGTTGTGATGCGCTCGATGGCTGCTTTTCAGAGAAGAGCCAGTCACTAATGAATAATACATATTGAGTGGAACAGTGAGAAGAGAGTTTTCTTTTGTTCCTTCATTGTTTTGGTTAACAGTTTTATTGAGAAAAATTCATTTACTGTACCGTTCACCCATTTAAAGTATATAACTTAATGGTTTTAATATGTTTAGGAGATTCTTCTCTTTCTCCAACAACCTTTCAGGGGCTTTTTGGGTTTGTTTGTTTGTTTTGGGGTTTTTTGGTACCGGGTATCAAACTCAACTCCTTGCTCTTGGGAGGCAGGCAGTAGAAGCACTGAGCTAAATCCCTGGACCATTTCAGGGGTTTTTTGAATGAGTGATTTGTAGAAGGTTCACAGGACAGATTTTAAATGTTTTGGAAAATTAAGACAATGTCAGTGACTATTTTATATCAATTCAAACAATCCTTTTGTGTCTGTGGGAAAATAGCTATCAGTAGTGGGCAAAAATGTGACAGAAGATGGGCATGGTGGCACACACTTATAATCCCAGCTCTCTGAGAGGCTAAAGCAGGAGGATGCCAAGTTCCAGCCCAGCCTGGGCAAGTTAGTGAGACCCTGACTCCAAAATAAAACTTTTTTTTTTTTTTGTACTAGGAGTGGAACTTAGGACCTTGTGCTTGCGAGGCAGGCAGTGGCATCACTAAGCTAAATCCCCAGCCAAAAATAAAACAATTTTCAAAGACGACTGAAGATATAACTGAAGACCTTGGGGTCAGTCCCCAGTACCACAAAAGAAAAGAAAATAAAGGTGATATGCAGTTCACTAGGCAGAACTCCAGATGGCCCATGAACACATGGAAAAATGTGTTTAACTCCACTAATGATTAGTGAAATCGAACATTTAAAACTCAAAGCTTTTGTTTGTTTGTTTGTTTGTTTTTGTACCGGGGATCAAACTTGGGACCTTGCGCTTGCGAGGCAGGCACCAGAATCACTGAGCTCAATCCATGGCCCAAAGTTTTTTATTTTTTTAAGCAAAACACTTATTGATGCCAGAGATTGAGCTCAGTGTTTCCAGTGCCTGCCTTGCAAGCGCAAGGACCTGAGTTCAACCCCTGGTACCAAAAAACACTTAGTGGTACGTTTTAGATACACATAATGATAACACTCGTAGGATCAAAAAAATGTTAAAGTTAATTTACATTTTCATCGAACAAATAAACAATTTTAGAACTCAGAAGGCTGCCAGAAGCTCCTCATCCTTTGCTTCCTGCCCCGCAGGCCTCCTGACTTCTGCTCTTTTCCCCTTACTCCTCTGCTGTCCTCTGTGAAAGGCTGGCTCGTCTGTCCCAGCTCGAGGTGCTGTCTTGGGGAGCATGGCCCTGACAGACTGCTCACGGCCCTGTGCAGCTCTGGGCTTCTCCAGACCACGACTTCTGTGCTCCTTAAACTGGGATTTGACTTAATTTAGTTCTTAAAGTCATTCATCTAGGACCAAATCAGAACATCAGATTCTTTTCCAGAGTTCATCAGTATTTCACCAGAAGCTTTTCCAAAGCGTATCAGTATTTCATTGTTCAGTTTCAAGTTCCTTATGTTTCTGCATCTCCAGTTGCAGCGTTTTCATTTTTAAACAGGACCCATCGTCTTTAGCTGTGACCTATATAATGATAGAGTCGCAAAATCTTTATCCTGACATTGTTCCCATTTATGCGTCACAGTTTAAATCTTAGACCCAAGTCACTTCTTAGCCAGCAGTTAGTTAACCTCAGAGCTCATATTTTTTTTTTTCCAGAGAATCTTAAATAAAAATTCTCACTGTCATTAGTCTTTCTGCAGTTTATCCTTTCTCTTAATGAATTTCAGGGAGAAGTCCTCCTCTGAAAGAATATAATATAGTAGGGAATGGTAGAGCACGCCTGTAATCCCAGCACTCAAGAGGCTGAGGCAGGAGGATCTTCGTGAGTTCTCAGGCAACCTGGGCTACAGCGTGAGTTCAAGGCCAGTTTGAACTACATAGTGAGACCCTATCTCAAAACTAAAAAGTAAAGGGAAGAGGGCCGGGGATTTAGCTCAGTGGTTCCGCCACCTGGCTTACAAGCACAAGAACCCGAGTTTGATCCCCAGTAATGAAAAAAAAAAGTAAAGGTAAGGAAGGAGAGAGAGAGAGTTAATTATACTGTTGCTTGCTTCTGTGTGATTGTGCCTCTTCCCACTCACGTGCCTCTCCCTGGGCTGGGCCCAGTACAGCACACAGCCTCACCTGGAGCACAGGATTTTAGCCCCTGGGTTTCAGGTCTTACCCTGCAAATGAACCTGCAAATGCCTCCACTCGCCTGCTGACTGTGTGTGTCAATTTTTGAGGGATTTTTCCTGCTAGGAAATCCAGGGCAGTGTTTCCAAGTACTACTACTGAAATGCTTTTTGAAATTATCCTTAGTAAGAAAAACCCATCTCTTCCCCCCCACCCATACGGAGGATCAAACTCGGGTCCTTGTGCTTGCAAAGCAAGCAGTAGAACTACTGAGCTAGGTCCCCAGGCCCAACCCATCATTTTTTTTTTTTTTTTACCGGGGATTGAACTCGGGTCCTTGTGCTTGCAGGGCAGGCCACCAAACCACTGAGCTAAATCCCCAGCCCCCATCATTTTTAAATGATGGGAATTTCTCTTGCTTTAGTTTGCCCAGGGAAATTCTTAAAACTCACAGCTCTGTAAAACCACTGCAGGTTCTTCGTGCTGAACAACGAGGCAGGGCTGCTGGAGTACTTTGTGAACGAACAGTCCCGGAGCCAGAAGCCCAGGGGGACGCTGCAGCTGGCCGGCGCTGTCATCTCGCCCAGCGACGAGGACTCGCACACCTTCACGGTGAACGCAGCCAGCGGGGAGCAGTACAAACTCCGAGGTGGGCAGCCGGGAGCGTGGGGCAGGCAGGGGTGGGGCACTACGCTGCCTAAGTCACACAGCGGCTGCTATGTCCAACCGTTCTTACTGTGCTGGCGCAAGAGGGCAAGTGGCCCTGTTTGACCCTGTGAGAACTGACGGGGCTGTTCCTGTGATTTCTCAGGCGCCCCAGGCACCAGCCTTGGAAATCATCCCACAGAGGAGTCTGAAAGCACAGCCTTCTTTAAATAATGTTCCCACATCCACTGGAGGTGATTTTGCCCTCTTACTTGACTTTGTTTGTATGCCCTTTGCGGTTTCCAGTGACTGATGTACGCAGTTGGGATTATCCCCCCACCCAGTACCGGAGGTCAAGCGCAGGTCCTTGCCCTTGGCAGGCAGGGAGGCAGCTGGCACCACCAAGCCACATCCCCAGCCCACATAGTTGGGATTTATTGAAACATCCCTGTTCACTCTAATAAAGTATGAGGTCTATGAAGATGCACTAAATTGTGTAGAAGCTGGTGGCTTTCATCTGATAAATGACATGGACTAGAATGATGATCCCAGCTGGTGTGGTGCTCGGACCTGAATGATCACTGAGACCTCACTCAGCCCCTGTAAAGTTATTTCTGTAAATAAACACATGGGGGGTGTAGCTCAGTGACGCCTGCCTCTAAAGCCCAAGATCCTGAGTTTGATTCCCGGTACAAAAAACAATAAACACATAGATGAGGAGCTGAACACGCATGTGACTTGCACATCCTCCCCTCCCCGCTCCCTGTGCTCTGTCCCCCTGTGGAACCTCGGCACTGCTCCTGTCCCTGGCAAGGTGAGGGCCGAGGCCTCCGCTCACCACGCTCCACGTGGGGACACTGGCCCTTCCCAGACAGGGACCAGGCTTAGCTCTTCACTCACCTACTCGTCATGCTGTAGACTGGATGCATTCCCAGAGTCACAGTGAACGACCCTGCTTCTTTTCACAGCCACAGACGCTAAGGAGAGGCAACACTGGGTCAGTCGGCTTCAGATATGCACACAGCACCACACAGAAGCCATTGGAAAGGTAGGCGGGTCACAGTGTGGGTGCCCCGGGAAGAGTGGGTGAAGGTGTATTTCAAAGGGCAGAATCCGTGGTTTCTGTGTATTCCCAAGGTTGTGCACCCATGGCAGCTGCCTAATTCCAGATCATTTTCACTGCCCTCTGTAAAAGTCCACACCCAACATCCGTTACTTTTTCTCCTTTCCCAAGCCCTTGGCAAGCAGCCATCTGTTTTCAGTTTCCAGGATTTATCTGTACAGATGGAGTCATACAAAATGTGGTACATCAGGTCTGGATTTCTTCACTCGACGACAATAGATTTGTTTTCCAGTACTGGAAATTGAACTCAGGACCTTCACGTTAAGCTATATTCCTAGCCCCTTTTTAAAAATGTTGGCACAGGGTCTCACTAAGTTCCTGAATTGCCCAGACTGGTCTCCAATTTGTCATCCTCCTGCCTTAGCCTCCCAGAGTGCTGGGATTGTAGACATGTGGCACCACACAGGACTCGCTTAGTACAACTTTCTAAGTTCCATCAGCATTGTTGCATGTAGCAATGCTTTATTCTTTTTAAAGACCTAATAATATTCCACTGTATAGACGTACTGTTACCGAAGGAATTGGTAAATGACACGCACAGAGAGACACAGAATGGAAGTAATATAATAAAAGGTTTACTTTGTTGACAAAAGGCCAGTCACACTAAGAGCAGTGCCAGTGATTGACAACCTACTACCTTACAGCTCCTTCTTTTATAGAGTTTTACAGCCTTGATCGCATTCAGGTGGTTACATTTCTTTTTCTCAGTTCATATTACCCATGTATAAATTACAGTAACAAGACAGTTAACTTTAACCCAGACGTAACAATTCCTTGTAGTTACGGAGTTTACCTAAAGATTTGTCCAGCTGTCTATTCCAGTGCACAGGAAGGGAGTGTTCAAGGTCAGGGATGAGGCCAGATGTCCCACTTCATGGTCAGTGCCTCCAGTGTCTGTTAATTTTGAACTAAACAAATCAGAGTGCTGTTAGAGACAGCAGAAGTCGTTTCCCATTTTCCTAACATGTTGTAGGTTTTTAGATTATTTACAAAAGTTCTCTGTCTCAGTACCACCTGTGTTTATCATGTGCCAGATCATTGGACAATCAAGTTGTGTCCATTTTACAGATAATGTGAATAATGCTACTGTGAGCATGTGTGTTCAAATGTTTTGGGTACAACGTACTACTGCAAAATACAGTGAAGGGCCAGGATTTAGCTCAGTGGGCACCGCACCTGCCTCACAAGTGCAAGATCCTGAGTTCGATCTCCGGTACCAAAAAAAAAAAAAACTGAAATTAGAAAAATTTTGTTATTCTAACATGCCTATAAGAGGTACAGAAAGTTCTTTGAGAATGCAAAACTGAAATTAATCTTCTAGATTACAGAGTTTCTGTGATGTGTGAAATGCTTAGATTTTGCATAGCTTAAATTTCATCTTTAGAAACACTTTATGCAGTTTTGAAGTGAATTTTTTTAAATTGATTGTTGTTGAGTAAGCCTCAAGTGCATAGTAGCCTGATGGCTAGAGAGCCCCAGGTTTTTTTAAGGGACACATTTTCTTTGTCTAACAGAATAACCCTCCTTTGAAATCACGGAGCTTCTCACTTGCGTCGAGTGGGAATTCTCCAATTTCTCAGCGGAGGCCAAGTCAGAATGCTGTCTCCTTCTTTGGTGTCGGGCACTCCAAGCTGCAGCCCGGGGCCCGAAGAGCTCACTTACCTCCCGACCACCTTGTGGAAGTCAGAGAGGTAAGTGCGCAGAGTCTAGTGGAATTGCACTTCCTTGGTTTCTCACAAAAATTTTCAAAATACAGATTGTTTCCTGTCTGGTCTGCAAGACACTTTTTAAGTGTTACAGATTCCCTGATTATGTGATGTCCCAGGTTTCCACATGTCTGTCAACTCCAGGCTAGGCATACTGCCATTTTTCAAAAATACATATATATCTTTTGTGTCTCAGGGAAAAACAAACTTCCCTTCTGTAAAATATTGGAGAGTCACAGGGCCCCTGTACAGGCCACAGAGCCGAGCAAGTGGTGCTTCCTCTGTTTCAGGTGGGGACAGCACTCAGGACTGAACCAGGCAAGGGTCCCACCATTGACCACATCCTCAGCCTGCATTTTCAAAGTTCTGAAACAAGATCTCCCTAAATTGCCCACACTAGTCCTGAATTTGCAATCCTCCTGCCTCAGCCTCCCCAGTAGGTGAGATTATAGGCTGTTCCACAATTCCCAGCTATGACTGTTTTTAAAAAAAACAAAAAAAGCAAAGCAAACTGATTCATAGATGGAAGAGCATATGCTGAGCATGCACACAGCCTGAGCTCGGCCTTGGCACCAAAAAACAAGTAAGTTGGGCCAGGGATTTAGCTCAGCGGTTCCGCCGCCTGCCTTGCAAGTGCAAGGACCTGAGTTCAATCCCCAGTACCAAAAAAAAAAGTCAAAACCAAACCCAATCCAAAGAGTGGCACAGATAGAAAACTTCAGGCATGGATAGTTAAATCCTTGACATTGGCTTGTCTCACCTTTTCTCTTTCTCTTTTACACTGAGTACCAGATAATTCTGGTGTCAGAGGATATGGTCTTCCAGGTGCTGAGTATTTAGGCAGTATCGGCTGCAGTCACAGTTGGTAGACCTTATAGATGTCTTAGAAATAGATTGGTGAAAATAATACCATAAACCACACCCGAATGATCTGAGGCAGGAGGCTGGGGACTATGCACCCTTGAGTGAGTCGTTTTCAGTTGTGTTTATAAATCAGGCCTCATAGTACAGGCCTGTGATCTCAACTTAGGCTGAGGCAGGAGGGTCCCTATTTGAGCCTAGCTATGGCAACTTAGCAAGACTATATCTCAAAATAAAATGGTTTAAAATGGTTCTGTTATGTCGCTCAGTGTGAGAGCCTTGGGTTCATTTCCCAGTACCAATTTAAAAAGGTTTATAGGTGAAGAAATTGAAGTTCAGAGCAATGAAGTCTTAACATGCTGGAGATACAGAGACAATAGCTTTTGGCTCACTTTGTAGTCCTGTTATAGAAGCAGATTGTAGTTGTAGACATGTTTAGGTCCGTGTGTGTGTGTGTGTCTGTGTGTTCACAAGCTCAGCTGCCCAGAGTGTGGATAAAGTCAGTGTTTGTCCCGTGCAGGTGAGTGGAGGAAGAGGCAGTGTGGAAAGCGGTGAGGAGAGAAGGGACAAAGGTCGGCGTGGAATACAGGGCATCCGGTCATGGTGTTTAAAGGGTGTTTCTCACCCTTTAAAGCTGGTGGCTGGCACTTTGAGCCCGGCCACCTTGGGGGTGACGGGGCGTGGGCGTCTCTGGGTGCCCGTCCTGTGCTGTGTGCACTGTCTGCATACCGCGTGCCAGCACCCTGCCCTGAGTCCCAGCCAGGCGCGAGTGGGGCCCTGCTCTGCCGACTGTGCTGCTCTCCCTGGGCAGTGGTGATTTCTCACAGCGCCCACATTGGACCGACAGGACTCTGGGGCTTCAGTGCACTCTTCGGGTCGTGTTGGTTGCTTTTTTTTTTTTTTTTCTTGGTATTGGGAGTTGAACCAGAGCCTTTGCACTGAGCTACACCCCCACACACCTCCCCTACCGTTTTTTTGAGACAAGGTCTAAGTTGCTAAGTTGCCCAGGCTGAGCTTGAACTTACACCCCTCTTCCTGCCTCAGCCTCCCAGAGTGCTCACACATTAATATTTAGCGTGTGACCTTGGCATGTCTGGAGAGCCCCCAGTATTACAGCCACACCATTGACTTAGAATCGCCTCGCTTGACGGCAGCCTCCCTGGAACTGTAGCCCGGGGAGGCACTGTAGGTTCAGTGGTGACCCTGCTGCCCATGGCCCACACAGGGCAGAGACCATCTCAGCCGATGGCTGTGTGTGTTCTCACCGTGCTGCTACTTCTGCACTTCACTACATATATGTCGTGCTCGAAGATTGTTACTATATTTGGAGCATGTCTATAGAAGATCTTTTTGAAGTGTTTATTCTGCCCTCTAGACAAGTGTTAAACAAATACAGACAAGTGGCTCGGTCCTGCAGTCACAGTTTCCTTTAAAATCTAATTTATTGCTGGTTATTGGAAATCATGGGCTTGTCCGGGGGCATGTTGTTTCTTTTCTAGTCTTCTTTATGAAACTGTCTGTTTAGGAATCTGTTTTAAGTTTGTGGCTTAGATGTTTGTTTGTTTTGAGACAGGGTCTCACCTTGTAGTTCATTCTGGCCTTGAACTCATCACGTAACTCAGGCTCAGACTCATGGAGATCCTCTTGTCTCAGCCTCCCAAGTGCTGAGAGTATAGGCGTTCACTGCCATACCCAGCTAGATGTTTTTCATTGTGGGAACTTAACGTACAAGGGCCATAATTCATATGTCTCACTGCCAGGTGGCTCTAGTTTAATTGTGCTGGTAAAAAGACCAATCAAAGTGATTAGATCCGATTGGACCTCCAGTGGTCCAGGCTGCCCAGGGGACAGCCGTGCAGGTGCCACCGGTGGTGCAAGCCAGCAGCAGTGGGAAAGCTGTTCGGCTTCTGAGCCCCTCCAGTCAGTTTTTATCCAACATAACAACTGAAAAGATTCTTCTTAGGCTAAAACCATAGTTAATGGTTTCACCAATTCAGCAAAGTTTTTTTTTAAATAAAGCTTATTTTTAAGTAATTTTAAATTTGCAGAGAAATTGGAAGAACAGTATAGGATTTCTGTATTTTCCTCACCAGACTTGCTGTGACATGGCTACCTGTAATTATCAGGCGAGGACACTATAGTCGTGTCATACTTCATGTTCTTGTCCTGGTTTTGGATCAGGCCTAGGACAGTTACTGAATTTAGTTATAGAAACTTAGGCCCCTCCAGTCTGTAGTTGTTTCTTAATCTTTCCTTCTCTTTCATGACCTTACACTTAGGAAGATCACTGATTTTTTTTTTTAATATCTTGAATTTGAGTTTGTCTGATATTTTCTCATGATTTGAATGAGATTATAATCTTGGGGAAAGAATGCTACAGAAAATGTGTCCTCAGGATGTCTTATCCAGGAGTTCTTGATGCCACCCATCTTAGTACCGGTCATACTGGGCTCCATATGGTGAGACTAACTTCTGTTCCATTTCTCCAAGAGCTGCTGCTGTCTTTCCATTTGTAGTTAATGTCCTGGGAAGATATTTTGAGACTGCAAATCCTGTTTCTCTTCCAAGAGAGAATTTTTCATCCCAGGCTGACCTGTGGCTCTAGGTGGCAGTTCTCAAACTTTCTGATATTGGGGTCCTTTGCGCTCTGAAACATTATGGAGTACTTCAAGGAGCTTCTATTTTATATGAATCAAATGTATTAGTATTTACCTTACTAGAAATCAAAGCAAATTTAAATAACTTGTTTATTTTAAAATAAAAATTTCTAAACCTATTACATGTTAATGTAATTGATATATTTTTATGCCAAACAATGATCTTTTTCCAAGACAGAACTATTGAAATGCATGGGCTGTTGTACACGTGTGCAGTCTCTTCACCGCTGGGCTTAACACATTCAGAGCAGGTCTGTAAATTATGTCTGGCTGCCAGGCTCTGAACCACCGTCGGGGGGCATGGGACAGTCACTCATGCACCACTTGTGGTTAAGCCCCAGGCACGTATTAATAGACTATGTTAGTGTTTTCATATCTCTTGTGCAATATATTTTGCAATTTATTGGGGTTTTTTTGGTTGAAATAAATAACATTTTGGGCCGGGGATTTAGCTCAGCGGTTCCAACCGCCTGCCTTGCAAGCGCAAAGACCCAAGTTCTATCCCCATACCAAAAAAATAAAATAATAATAATGATAAAATAACATTTGCCCTCCCACAGCTACGAGCTGGAGAAAAAAGGAACATTTCGGCAGCCTTCTCAGACTATGGGTCTTCTTTGATGCTCCCTCAGAATTTAGAGCTGCCCTGTAGTTTCCTATGTTGGGCGCAGTGTGGAATCCAGCCTGCAGCAGTGAGCTGTGTCTGCCGTGCAGGAAAGTGCGTCAGTCTGGCCTCCCCTTGCGTGACACCCCAGCCTGTCCATGACGCAGCGTGCTGGGCCTTAGCTCCTCAGCCTGGCAGATGTCTGTGGGGGTTACCGTTAGACGCAGTGTGGACAGTCTAGAGTATAGGCGTTCGCTACCATACCCAGCTAGATGTCTTTCATTGTGGGAACTTAACGTACAAGGGCCATAATTTGTATGTCTTGCTGCCAGCTGGCTCTAGTTTAATTGTGTTAGTAAAAAGATCAAAGTGATTAGATCTGTTTACTAACGTCCCACACGGCTCACTAGAAAAGTCTTTCATACTAGGGACCAACCTGTCAAGCCTACGACGGCAGACAGGTTCTCCACGATTCTGGTGTTCATCTGAAAGCCCACGTTTTACAAATGGCGCCGGATATTGTCAGTTTCTTTTTTTTTTTAAACGACAAGTTCGTTTTACTGAGTTTTGAGGAAGTGTCTGTCAACTGCTGCAAACCTGCATAGCTGTGGTTGCCGTGACTCACCCTCCGCCTTTAAGATAGTAATGTGGGCAGAAAGTGGCCATCAGCGCAGCCGCAGTCCTGTCCCTGTGCGCAGCTCTGGCGGCTGGGCCTGCAGCGCACTCGCTCTCCACGACCCATGCCTCAGAGTTTGACGAGTGCGTGCTCAGGGTAGAGATGGAGCATGCGCAGTGTCTTCACTGGCCTGTCAAGGACACGCAATAGAATCTGCTTCTCCTTTCTGAGACCGCACAGCGGCAGAGGACTCAGTGGCAGGACTCGCTGGCGGGGCCTGCGTCCCTGCCTGGTTGTCACTGGCATTCCATCCGTGCGCTAACATCCTGATGCTACTGCGAATGCTGCGTACTTTCCCTGGAATATTAGGGAAGTAGCTCTGATCTGCAGACGACCTGCAGGGGGCCTCGTAGGGCGCAGGGCTCTACAGAGGGAAGGGGAGAAACACCCAGATCCTGGGATAATATATCCAGTGTAAGAGTGACAGTTGGTAAAAGTAGCTGTCCCTGTCATATGCACAAATTTATTGCAAAAGATAACCTGGTTAAGATGTTCTCGTTTCGCGTTTCCTGTTTATTGTAGTGCTGCTTACTGATTGGCTGCAATACTCAGTACATGCTTCATGGTGATTCTGTCTGTGTCCTAAGAGTGGCGACAGTGACGGGTCTAGGGGGACAGATGATTAACACGTGAGTGTTGTAGATTAGCGGTCCAGTCTGAGAGGCACGATTTAGTGCTGTCACCATATTTGCCACATGTAGCTACAAACTCAGGTTAGCCAAGTTTCCAGCTTTCCTGAAGCTTTTTTCTTAAGTACCTGGCCCTGTCATATCGGGAACAGTCACTAATGCAGTTTCACAAAACATTCTCCCACTTCTTTGTAAATACTGTATGTGATTGACTCTCCTGTTTTGGAAAGCAGCATTGCCAAGTTTTAAAGTTTATTTTTTCTAGCCATGATAGTACAATTTCCTTAAGTCTCTTCACTTCTAACATCAGTGGGGAACATGAGAACCTTTTGCTTGCAACTAAAAGTAAGCATCATAAATTCAATTTACATCTAAAAAGTCAGGTTTCTCATCTGTAATCAGTATTCCATTGACTCTGTTAGGAAAAGTGGCCAGGGGACCTAAGCACAGCCCAACGTATTAAACTCTGTCAGCTTGAGAGCTCACACCCAGGACTGGCAGCAAATGCAGCTTCACAGGACCAGAAGGGTTAGGAAGGAAGGGGCAGGAAAGCTATCATGTTCTCAGCAGACCAGCGGTCTGAGATGAAATGGGTAAGAGCCCTGGCTTTGGGTCTTTGCTTTACTTGGGTGTCAGGTATTTAATAAGTTATTTTGCAGTGCTGGGAGTGAACCCAGTGCCTTGGCCATGCCAGGCAGGTGCTCCACCACTGAGTCATACCCCAGTCCTGATCTTTCTTTAGAATAAAATGTCTGGTACTGCTGCGAGAGACATATCAGAGTGTTCCTTCTGGTGGCTTGTATGAGTTTACACTGTTAATAAACTGGTGAGCCTTTTGAACTTTGTTGCTTGCAGAGAAAAAGGTCGCGCTCTTGCTCTGCTTATAAGCGCCATTAAGCCTCATGAACTGAAAACAGCCTGGCAAACGTCAAGTAGATTTCTAGTCTGAGTCTGTCCTGAAAGATGGCTCCGAAGCTGAACGTGGTAACAGAAATGGCACTGCATGCGTGCACATGATACAGAGATAACTAGAGCCAGGCGTGGTGGCACACGCCTCTAACCCTGGCACTTGAGAGGCTGAGGCAGGAGGATTGCTGCAAGTCTGATGCCAGCCTGGGCTACATAGTGAGACTTTGCCTCAAAAAAGGGGGGCTGGTGGGGAACCGGGTCCCACAGAACTGTTGTCCTCCTTAGATGATGTCTCACGCAGAGGGACAGCAGAGAGACTTGGTCAGACGGATCGAATGCCTTCCCGCCTCCGGCCTTCTCAGCTCCCTGGACCAGGACCTCCTGATGCTCAAAGCGACGTCCATGGCCACGATGAACTGCTTGAATGACTGCTTCCACATCCTGCAGCTGCAGCACGCGTCCCACCAGAAAGGCTCTCTGCCTGCAGGTACAGTGCCCACCGGGGGCGGATGTGACACTGAGGACCGAAGTAGGGAAGGGACAGTGTTTATTGTTGTTCTAACCCTGGAAAATCTTTAAAAAGCAGCAAAAAAAAGTGAGCCTCTGGTTTTGATCATCACACCGTTAAACTAGATCGTCCTAAATGTGCTCTTCGTTGGGTTTGAAATGGTTTCATGCCTGGTGTCTAACACCCTAGAGTATTCCTCTGGAGACTTCAGAGCTCCACAGGATAAAAACTGAACTCACACCCCGAAGCCCCTATATTTCTGTTAAACTCTGGGGAATCGTGATGCACCCGTGCATCCAGTTGACCAAAGGCAGCGCTGGGTTCATTCCTTGAGTTTCTTTTTTTATCAAGTCTGTTCCATGCCTCTCAGTGTACTTCCAGCATCTGACTAGACGAGACGGGACAGCGAGTACAGATGGCACCTCTGGCAGGAGATGCCATCTCGGCGTGCTGTGTGACAGGTGGTCTCTTAGTATTTCACAGCTACTCATTGTTCTCTTTTCCAATGCTCCTCCCTTACTTTTGAGCGAAACATTTTAGAAAGTCAGCAGGTCTCTCTCCCCGAGAAGAAGTTTATCAAAGTCCTAGTATGGACTCATCCTCTCCTCTGCCTAAATTCTTTGTTTCTGCCTAGTAGACTGTTTCAGTGGCAACTGTAGACGCAGGTCAGGGCTCTATTAGAGAGTCAAATAAGGTGTGTATTCCCCGGAAAGAACTGTTAGTCCTGTGGGGTGCTAGGTGTGATCCCCAACACCGACACAAAACAAAACAAAACAAAACAATGTCATAATCCAGCTGCAGCCGAGAAAGAAACGTGAATAATAGCCATAAAATAACATATAGGAAGTGGTACTAGCCGCAGGGACAGAATGTGGTGAGCGCCGAGGGTGAGCCCTTCAGAGCGCCAGTTGGCTGAGCGGCGGGGAGTGGAGCAAGTGCCCCTCACAAAGGCAGAGCCCGACTCCGACTCCAGCGAGGGTTGGTCCTTGTCAGAATGGAGCCCAGTGAGGCTGAACCAGGCCAGCTGTGCTGGGATTTATCCATCTGCCGAAATGGGAGTGTGACCATAGACTGAAAGAACTCCTGGCTCTTGCACATTTCCGCCACAGTAGTCAGAGCACCCTCATTATAGCACTCGGTATCCCAGCTTCTGTGGAACCTAGATCAGCCTCTGAAATCAAGTGGAACATTTTCCATTATTGATTAGACATAGAATCCACTTTGTTAAACTAGTTGAGAGTAACAGGAGACCTTTGAGTCGTTCGCAGAGAAGATGATGGTTCTCTACACGTGACCGCTGACCTTCACTGGGTCAGGCATTACTTATTCAGGAGCAGAGTCTTCAGTTTGCAAGTTACGTGGGGCTTTCTTATGACTGGAAAGGCGGAGGAGGACACCCATGTGCCATTCTTAAATGAGATCCAGGTGGCTCTGCTGGTTAGAAAACTGCTGCTGAAATAAGGTTCAGTCCCAAATAGAAGAAAATGTTACTGGGTCGGGATTTGGCTCAGTGATTCTGCTGCCTGCCTCACAAGCACCAGGTCCGGAGTTCTATCCCCGGTACCAAAATAAAAGAAGGAGGAGGAAGTGTTACCATTTCACAGTCCCGGCTCCTTTCATTGTGCCTCCTAACTTAGCCTAAGTGTACACCTTTTGTTACTGAGATACGTAGTTCAGACAGAAAATGAGCTGGCTGGGACATACTTCAGAATGCACAGACCTGCTGAGAAGTGAATTCAGTCCTGCTCATGGTTGGCTTCTTTCAAATGGGATCTGATTTCAAGTTGCAAGTTGCTCAGTGGTAAAATACCCAATCAAGGTGCTCATGCTAATGAGATCCAAGGGACCATCTTTCGGGGTCCCTTGACAAGTTAAATTGCTTTTCGTCATGTAAGCTCGAAACAAAATTGTTCCATAAAATCCACATCTGCTGACCTTTCCAGATTATGAGCACGTTTCAGCAAGAGTTTTCTCTTACCTCATCAGGAGCAACGATCGAGTGGTTAGAACCGAAGATCCCTCTCTCAAACCATTACAAAAATGGAGCGGAGCAGCCCTTCACCACAGAGCAGGACAAAGCCGTAGCCACTCCTGAGGGGCAGTCGACTGCAGAGTCTGGGCTCATAGCAAGGGTAAGGAAGGGGAAAATGTACCGTGGCGTGGAGACCAGGCACCACTGCGAAGGGCCGGGTTCCTGTCCACTGTCAGGGCACCTCGGTCCACACCGGCAGCGCTCACCAAGGCTCCACATTATTTCCCCGGAAACCGCCTTAGCTGTGGGGAGACAGCTCTTGTGTTACACTTGAACCTGCTGTGTGCTCCGGGTTAAGTCGCCAGCACTTTTTCATGTTGATTTACTTCTGCGTGATAAACGTGTAATTTGAAAAACTGAAGTTTGCATGTTTTCCTTTTTCCTAGGCCAAAACTAAGTTACAGGATTTTTGTGTAATAATTTATCATATTTCTTATTCTATTACCTTAATAGTGTTTATTATATGTTTATTACTACATTTATAAGCTCAAACAAGCCTTTTCATAGTAAGCACTTTACCAAAACAGTTGTTTTACAGTATTACCCTATTAAAATAGCACATGATCTCAGGGCTTAATATTTTTATAAAGTATTATGCATTTCATATTTCTGAGAGTTAAAGAGTGTTTATTATGTTTCTACATCTTCCAGTGTTACAAATCATATTGACTAATTTATTTATTTGGGGGGGGTCCAGGGATCAAACCCAGGACCTTGCACTTGTGTGGCAGGCATGGCACCACTGAGCTAAATAAATCCCTCACCAAATCATATTAATTTTTTTGCCCTTTGTGTTCACATTTGTTATTTCTTTGGCCACTATAATTACATAGGTCATCTTAAGACATTTTGTTTGATACTCTCATAAGTATTTTTCTATGATGAAAGGTTGAAACAGGTTATGGAGTTAATGTTCCTATTGGTGAATGTCTGGCTTGCCTGTTGTTTGTTATTATAAATAGTGCTGTACAGTATTATTTCGCTTACCGTTTTCCCCCCTCCTGTGGTCAGGTCATTCTTTAGAGTTAGGTTGTACCCCACCTGGAATCACTGAGCCAAGAGCAATGCAAGGTCTGTGTTTGCTTACATATTAGTCAATAACTTCCTTTTTTTTTTTTTGGTACCGTGGATTGAACTCGGGTCCTTGCGCTTGCAAGGCAGGTGGCAGCACCACTGAGCTAAATCCCCAGCCCATTCAATGACTTCCTGAGAGAAGCTGTAACACAAGGACTTGCAGCTGGCAAGGCTTTGACCTGACTCAGCTGGGGAGCCAGGGTGGGCAGAGAAGGACAAAGTAGTGATGAGAAATGTCTGCAGCTTTCTTAGTAGCTTGTTTGCAGAGTCAAACAGTTAACGGATGACAAGTATGATGTTAAGATTTGGTGGGGGGGTTGTTATTGTTTTGAGACAGGGTCTCACTGTGTAGTTGAAACTGACCTGGAACTCACTATGTAGCCCAGGCTGGTTTTGAACTCACAGTGATCCTCTTTCCCCAGCCTCCCAAGTGCCACTACACCTAGCTACGATTTAAGATTTAGAAGTGAAGCAAAAACCAGCTGACAGAGGTCAGCATGCATCTGCCTGGAGTCCACAGGCACACAGACCTGTATGAGCAATGGTGTTTGCCTCAGCAGGCCCTGGTTAGGCTGCTGGGAGATGAGCATTCAGGGAAAGGAGACACTGAGCAGGGTGCGTGGGTCTTGTGGTAGGGACCAAGAGGGACTGGAGTTAGGCTTTGAAAGGAGACAGTGTTTGAAGGGAGGAAGAGTGAGGGAGCTTCAGATTGGAGGAAAAGCATAGGCTGGGCACTGCCGCACGTGTGTTTATCATCTGATGGCTGTGAACTCAAGATTGGTTTTTAGTTACATGTGGCCTAGTAATGAACCACTTTTAGCTCTGGTCTCCTCATCTGTAAAGCCAGGGCAGTGATGCCTGTAAGGTTTGGTGAGGAGAAAATGAATGTGGCAGAGCAGCTGGCTTGTGGGAAGTGACTTCAGGGCTGTTGGACTTCATATCCGTGTTGCAGCACAGTGTAAACTGTATCCCTGAAGAACATAAGAGCCATGCGAGGTTGAGCCTTGATGCAATACAGGTAGGAGGGCCATGATCACGGGGAAGAATGGGTGTACTAAGATTGGTATGTGATGTGGCATGGAATTAAGGAAGTAGAAAGGAAGACCTATGAATAGCCAATGTCCATCTCAAGTGAAAAGTCATTTGGACTTGGGATTGGGTATAGGGTTGGATCAAAGACTCGCCGGGCGTGGTGGCACATGCCTGTAATCCCAGCACTTGAGAGGCTGAGGCAGGAGGATCTCTGAGTTCTAAACCAGCCTGGGCTACAACGTGAGTTCCAGGGCAGTCTCAATTACATAGTGAGACCCTGTCTCAAAAAAAAAAAAGACAACTCCTAGTTTGGGGCTTAAATGACAAAATAGGCTAGACCCACAATCCAGGTTTTGGCAAAGTTGAAAAGATGAGGCTTTTTTTACTTTTGGTGCTAAGAGGATTGAACCCAGGGCTGTGCACTGAGCTACATCTGGCTTTTCTATTTTGAGACAGGGTCTCCCTGTGCTGCCCAGGCTGGGTCTGAACTTCGTAATCCTCCTGCCACAGCCTCCAAGAGTGCTGGGGTTACAGGTGTGGCCACCACACCCAGCTCCAGCCTTTCTTATTTTCTGACAGAGTCTGCTGAGTTGCCCAGGCTGTCTTGAAATTTATGGTGCTCCTGCCTCAGCCTCCCCAGGAGCTGGAATTAAAGGCATGTGCCATTGTGACTGGAGTAAACTGCATTCTTTTAAAGAGCTTACTATCCGGTTATGTTTTATTTCTCTAGCATAATATTTTCATTGGAGGAATTCAAATCATAAAGTAAACTGTGGTGTCAAAGCTATTTATTTGTCCTTCCTTCCTTCCTTCCTGTGCTAGGGATTGGGTCCAGGGCTCTGCACATGCTAAGCGTGCACTCTACCATCGAGCTGCACCCCAGCCCCCAAAGTTGCCTTTGCATTCTTCATAGCCTGGGTTCTAACCTCAGATGTCACGTTACCTTTTCAGAGGACTGGAGAGCAGTACTTAATCAAGACCCAGCAGGGTTTCTTCTCCCGGTCTGACGTAATTCTGTGATCTCGTGTAGTGGTATTTGGTCTCCCTGTGTAGAGAGGAGGACCAAGAGCTTGCCCACGTTTATCACGGGTCCACATTGTAAGTGTACTGCAGCTGTACAGCACACCTGACTTGGGTACGTACCAGCTCATACTGCCCAACAGGCCCGCCACGGAGGAGAGCCTTCGGGTCTCTCCTTAAGGGCATAGAAACAGAAGTAGTTCTGATATTTGCAAATAGTGACTGTAGGGTTTTGTTTGTTTGTTTTGGGGGTTTTGTTTTGCTTTTCAGAAAATTGAACCCAGGGCCTCACACAATGTACCACTGAGCTCCATTCCCAGCCCTTTTCTATTTTGAGGCAGGGTCTTGCTAGGTTAAAAAACGTGGCCATAAACTTGTCATCCTCCTGCCTCAGCCTCCTGAGGGTTAGAGATGCGCGCTGCCACACCCCGCTGATCTGTGTGATCCTGACATAGGGAAATAAACATGACTGTTAGTTGATTTATCAGAATATGTGCTGATACAGACTTCCTTGATAAAAAAGTAACAGAAAAGGAAAAAGATAAAGACAAAAGAATGGTCGGAAACCGATTATCCTTTTACTCTGTCACTGTGCACTATATTTTGTTTTTAGCGTTTTGAGACTATTGAGTTCTTCACCTTGTGTCAGGTAGGATCCGTTTTCTGTGTCTAGCTGCATAGAACTCACGGGTTTCTTGTTTGTTAGTGGAAGGGACAGTCAGGAGCAGAGACACTAACAAGACCCCTTTAGAAATCCTCATTACTTTGAGTCTTAGTTACTTTTCTCGTTGCTGAGAAAAGATAGGCAACACCCAGCATTTAAAGGAGGAGAGGTTTATTTGGCTCACAGTTTGCAGAGGTTTCAGTCCATAGTTGGCTGGCTCCAAGGCAGGGTAGCACAGCAGAGGGGCCTCTCGGAGGAGAACAGTTCATGGCAGGCAGAAGGCAGCAAGTGACAAACTACAAATAGTGACCTCTTTCTGTCCCTTCTATCCTGTCTAGGCTACCCACCCGCAGGGCAAGTAGCACGCACACCTAGAGTGGGGCGGCCTTAATCGTAGCATCGCATCATGAATCAATCCCAACATCACTTCCTTGATCTCAGCAGTACAAACCCTAGATCCAGCTTTCCCTGAAAACCCCACCTATGACTGCAAGAGGCTTGGGGGGACAGTGCAACATGAGCAAACATCACCCTGTAAAACTATCTTACTCGGGGTGTAAGACTTAAGTCTCACTTTTACTCCTGGAGCGTGAACAGCCAAGAGGCTTTCACGATGCTGGGCTCAGAAGCTCAGCGAGGCTGCAGGAGCTTGTCAGACAGCGAGAGTCACCCAGGAAGGAACACACCAGGCAAGTTGGCAAATAGACCTTTATTAGTCTGGCCAGACGGCACTCCCAAAGCCAAGTAGCTCAGAGAGGCGGCTAGCTCAGAAACAGGCCATTTTATATAGGGCTAGGTGGGGGGGTTACACTTACAGGAAGAGGACAAAGGCAAAGAATCAGTTGATCTGAGCTAGTGGTCATCAAGCATATACTTGCCCGATTATCCATTATTCCATTTACAACTTAGATTATAATGTTCAGAACATTCAACTACAGGCAAGTAAGGAGTGGCGTAATTTATGTTGGGTCTCTGTGTTCACTACAGTTTCCATTTAGTTTCCCAGCTACTTCAAAGCAGTTACCTAACAATTCACAATTAATCATTAGTTATCCTATAAGGGATGGGGGAAGCGACAGTCCCTAGGTCGTTTGCTGGTCAACATGGAGTCGCTCTGGTTCAGTCAGGCTCTTACAGGGGGTGCTAACAAGGGTCCCCTGAGAGGGGACACCTTCCCTATAAAGACCTGGACAGCGATGGCTGGTGAGCTTTGTAGAATCTTGGGACATGAAACTGCTATTTGTTTAAATAAAAATAAGTACAAAATTGTCTGTCTTACCCAGTCACTTGCAGCTGAGATAAAAGCACATCCTCAACTTTTCCACAGGTAGCTCTCCTGATGCTGAGTGACCAAGGAGCTGGGCAGAGAACTTTGTGGCATTCCAACCCCTCGGGGGCAACTGCTGGTTTCATATGCATTCCCAGAGCTGCTTCGTACACGTGCGGGGCAGCCCCTGGGTAGCCCTTGCCTGCCCTGCACAAGGCCCTGTGTCAGTCCCCTTCAGAACAGAGAGAACACAGGAGTTCACTGGACGTGCATGCAGCCGCTTCTAGGATTTTTTTTTTCCTCATAGTAGTTTAAAAAGAGGCAAATCCTGGGCCAGGGATTTAGCTCAGTGGTTCCACCACCTGCCTTGCAAGAGCAAGGTCCCAAGTTTGATCCCTGCGACCAAAAGAAATGAGGCAAATTTTCATTCTCAGAACTCTGCCATTATAGGCAGTAGTAGAGTCTCCGGCAGGTGGTGGAGCTTGGGATTCAGAGGAGACTTTCTTTTTGGGACCTGCATTTGCGAGACAAGTGGCAGAACCACTGAGCAAAATCCCCGACCTCAGATGAGACTTTCTTCAGATGAGAAACGGTATTTGAAAAAGACAATAAATGTGTCTTATATGTGGTATAGAGGCCAAACCACAGTATTGAAAATACCAGAAATAACAGGGTCTCTGAACAGAACATATCCATGGGCAGTGATGGGAGTGCTGTCCTCAGGAAGGATCCGGCCGTACTCTGCTTTGTTTAGGTCCAGTATAAGTGCCTTCCAGTCTGGTGTGACCCCTTTGATCTGCATGAACACTGATAAGCATTTATAACCCGAGACCTCTGCCTGCACTCAGGAGCCTGAGGACGTACACGCGGATGAGGAAGTGGAGGACACCTGCGACAACAAGGAGGATGACCTGGGGGCCGTGGAGGAGCAGCGCAGTGTCATCCTGCACCTCCTGTCACAGCTCAAGCTGGGCATGGACCTGACGCGGGTACACAGGGGACCAGCTGGCTGTGGGACCATCGGGAAGGGCCCCCCTGGGGATGTTCCTGGGATCAGGTTTTCACTTGGATTTTTTTTTTTTTTTACCCTTCGGTACCGGGCTAAATCCCCAGCCCGGGGGTCAGGCTTTCATGTGCTCCACTGAATCTGTCTCTGTCTCTGTCTCTCTCTCAAGATATTGAGGCCTCTCAAATGCTCTAGCATTGACCACATTGCTGAACTTTGTAAAAATTTATTTTGAAGCTATGTGTAGAGACTGAGGCAAGAGGATTACTGAGCTCGAGACCAGCCTGAAATGTACAGCAAGACTATCTCAAAGAAACAAACAAAATTATCTTGAGACAGTCTCATTAAGATGCATAGGCTGGCCTTGAACTTGCAAACCTCCTTGCTGGGGTTATAGGCATGAGTTATAATACGTGGTTTGGTGATCTAATTCTTCCCCTTGCCCTCCCACCATCTTCCCCCTCCCCCAATACTGGGGATTGAATCTAGGCCTCATACTTCTTATTTTTGTAAGACATCTATGGTTTTCTTGCACAGCAAGGAGTCTCATGGCAAATAAAGACCTGCAGTCTTCCTGTTTCTGTAAACCTTTAAGCAGCCCATTGGTGCAGCAGCTCAGGTAAAAACTCTGAGGAGAAGGATGTAATTCTACAAAATCATACAAAACACTGACCTTTTACTTTTTTTTTCTTTCGGTACAGCGATCGAACTCCAGTCCTTGCACTTATGAGGCAGGCGGCAGCACCAACTGAGCTAAATGCCAGCCCTAGCATTACTCTTTTTTTTAGCATTACTCTTAAGGCCTGCATTTGGACAGTACATCTTGGACATATCCTGACTTTGGTTGTAAAGGACCAGGCAATAAACATTTTTGGCAGTGTGGCCATAGATCTGTGTAGCAACTACTCAGTTTTGCCACAGAGGATCTGCTGATGGTCAGGACTGTGCTCCCACTAACCTGTATTATAAAGGCCGAGCTGGCTGTGATGGTGCCCACTGTGATCCCAGCTACTCAAGAGGCCAAGACAAGAAGATCTCAAATTCAAAGCCAGCCTAGGTATCTTCACAAGACCCAGTCTTAAAATAAAAAGTGTAAAAAAAAGGGCCGAGGATGTAGCTTAGTGGTAGAGCGCTCTTCTGTCATGTGTGAGGCAGTTCAGTCTCCAGTACCACGTAGACAGGAGACCAGGAGTCCGGAGTACATAGCTCAGTGTAGAGCGTGCACTTAGTGTTCAACAGGCCTTGGGCTCACGGCCCAGCACCACAAGACAGACAGGTAGGAGGCCACATCTAGCCCAAACACCACAGTCTGTAGGCTGAGTCCAGAGTCTCACCACCTTAAAAGTGCGAGAATTTGTACATTCGCATTGTCGTCGTCATCATCTGTAAAACTTGTTACAAATGCAGAATCCCAGTCAGCAGTCCCAGACTTCACAGAGCAGAGTAGTAGTTTAGTCAAGTCCCCAGGGGATTTCCACATCCCTCAAAGTGTAAGATGCCCTCCTTGGTTGTTTGGCTTTAGGTCGGTCTTCTCTGGTCCCAAATTACCTAATTAGTATCCTTTCATTTGTTTCAGCAGTTAGTTCATGACACCCTTTTAAAAAGCTACTGGTGCAGGGTATGGTGACGCATGCCTGTAATCCCAGCACTCAGGAGGCTGAGGCAGGAGGATTGCTGTGAGTTCAAGACCAGCCTGGACTACATAGTGAGTTCCAGGTCAGTCTCAACTACATAGTGAGACCCTGTCTCAAAAAACAAAACTAAACTAAATAAATAAATAAAAATAAAATCTAATGGGGGGATTTAGCTCAGTGGTGCTGCACGTACCTCACAGCACAAGGTTCTGAGTCCGATCTCTGGTACAAAAAAAAAGCTAATTGGGCCAAGGATGTAGCTCAGTGGCACTGCCCTTGCCTGGCAAGCACAAGGGCCAATGTATATCAGATTTTGATTACTGTGGGATTATTTTTATTACTACTAACATGATTTTGCCTTAATGTGGAATTTCAAAATGGACATAGGGAGGGCTGTTTCAAATCAGGTCTCTGATGCCATTGAAAGTAGTGAGAGTGTGGCATTGTTTTCAGGGAAGTGTCCACCTGCAAATGCTACTTAAATAGAAAGCAGCTTGCATTTAGGGTTCCTCTTAAAGCGCTTAAAAGTCAAAAACAGGAAGAGGTGCCTCACAAGCACAAGGTCCTGAGTTTGATCCCGGATACAAAAAAGAAAACAGGAAGAGGTGGAGGGAAGGGTAGGGAAGCAGACATAAAAATAATTAAGACATGTTAGGTACATGTACCATGCTCAGGAACATGTTAGGTACATGTACTGCTCACTGTGATAAAATCATTATGTACTGCAAATATGGACTAATTAAAAATAAATTTTAAGTCAAAAAAAGTCCCTAACGTGTGAAACGAGTTCCATTCCAAGAGAATTGTTCCTAGTTTGGATTCATCCATAAGCTGGAAAATGAGTTTTATAATAGTATACCTGTGAAAGTTTGCAACTCAAATGTTCATGAGTCAGGGACTTAGTAGTGTATCCCTATAGTCCCAGCACTCTGGAGGCTGAGGCAGAAATGTTGCTGAGTTCAAGGCCAGTCTGCGCTTCAAAGTAAGACTTTGTTTCAAAAAAGTTGAAAAAAAAAGTCAAAAACATTTCTTTTTTACCTAGACTTATCATGCTTAACAAGAGGTTTTAAAAGAGAATAAATTGCATTGAAAGTCCAAAAAGAAGACATTTTAGGAATAAGAAAACCCATTAATCTGTCATGTAACCCCAGTACTTCAGCTGGGTTGTTCTTCTGTTCAAGAAGTGCTTTCAGGGCTGGGGATTTAGCTCAGTGGTTCCACCACCTGCCTCCCAAGTGCATGGACCTGAGTTCGATCACCGTACCAAAAATTAAAAGTGCTTTCATATGAGTGGTTCCGGGGCTGGGGATTTAGCTCAGTGGTTCCACCACTGGCCTCAAAAGCACAAGGACCTAAGTTCAATCCCCGATACAAAAAAAAAACCTAGCTAACTGATCCCATATGAGTGGTTCAGGAAGACCTTTGTTAACTGCGAAATTGGTTAGAGACTGGTCCCATGAGGGTTGCTTGGTAGGAGTTGGGCGGGTGTTTGTTGTCCTGGTCTGGGAGGCATAAAAATGGCATTGAGGCTGAGGAGGTGAAAGCACGTTGAAGAGAGCATTTTCAAATCCAGTGAAGCCTCTTTCACACAGATAACTGCATGGTACTCTTCCCCCACGTTTGTGCCTTGTCAGTGAAACACTTAATGTGTTGCATTACCCAAGCCAAAATTGTGAACGTTCACATACCATTTAACTGATAGTACATAAGCAGAGTTAAGTCTCCTGTGCCGAAGCTGCAGGGGCACTGGCCTGCTGCCTGACAGCGGCTTCCAGACGCATCCCTAGGGCCATGGCAGCCTCCTCCCGCCTCTCTCAGTCAGCTGTGTCTCCAAGCCCCTGGCATGCCTTCAGTTGCCGTCACCTCCATGTTCCTGACTGTATTGTTCGTCATCCTCTTCCCTTTCCTGACAGTTTTGCCTGCCTCTTGAGTTTGTGATTTAGTGTAGGAAAGAGCACGCACCAGTGCAGGCTCGGTTGGCGCCATGCAGGGGCCATCGTGGTCTCGGCCTTCCCTCCTGTCGCGTTGCAGGGGTGAAAGGCGGGGCTGCCCTAGCCTGAGGGAATGTGGCCTGGCATCTTGGCTGCTGGCCTCCCTCAGCTCCCTGAGAAGCGGAAGCCAGAATCTGAGTGTCCCCAGCCCCACGCAGCTGAGGCCGAGTCTCTTCCTCCATCCCAGCTGAAAGGGTGTGCTGGTGGCATGGCGTGTGGGGTGGCAGCGGTCTTCGCTTTGCCCACCTCTGCAGGGAAGCGGCAGACCCTCGCGCGACCAGAATGGAGGCAGGGCCTCCCGCTGAGGGAAACGGGCGAGGTGGGACCAGTGTGAGCTCCGTAGGGTCTCGGGTCTCGGAAGCACATGACTCCTGCTGGAAGCTGCGGGGCCCTCCCGTGGTCGCTGACCGTACACCAGTCAGTCCTCTGAACTAGGGCTCCCTCCGCCCTTCTAGATCCCCTTCCTCCATCCCAGGTCCCAGTCTGCAGTCGTCTCCCTGTGTGGTAACATCTGAGAAGGGCCTGCGGGAAGCAGATGCGTGTCTGAAACGCCCATTCACCCTCGCTTAGCCGCTTGATTGCTAGTTTGGATAGAACTTGTCACTAGTTTTCCTTCAGTGTTTTGCTCTTGTTACAGAGTTCTATTGAAAAGACTGAAGTCTCTTACAACTGTTGTTTTCCTCTCTGAAACCGGAATCCTCTCTGACATGTCTGGTGTAGTGCTATATCTTGATACAGGTTTTGATTTGTTTTGGGCTCGTGGTGGGATTTTTCACTGTGACAATTGTAGATTTTTTTTCTGGTGACAGATTTCATTGTGTCTCACTGTGCAAGCTGACCTTGAATTTATAATCCTCCTGCTTCCATCTCCTGAATGCAGGAATTTCAGACACGTACCACCACACCCCACTAAAATACGGATCGTTTTAATTATTACTTTACACTCCTTTTCTTTCTTCATATTATTTCTTTTCTTTAGGCTGGATTCTTGGAAGAATAATTAAGAGGCTAAATGAGTATGAGCGTATTAGACCTCTTGAAAAATACTGCCAGTTTTCTGTTTCATAGAGTTGAACTGTTTTGCAGGCCTCTGCAGTTCTGCTTTAAAATATTTTCTGTCCTACCCAGCTTTAGGTGTCAGAAGTTAGCTGAAAGTTAGAGTTTTCGCTTTGGCATGTCATCTCGCTGGGTGTTCTCAGGAAACAGCACTTTCTGCCTCTTCTCATAGTTTGGTCAGCCACCCACAGTTTATTTTTTAAGGTAAGATGGGAGAAGATGCACCCTCTGGACTTCAGTACTACTTTCCTGATGATACTTGTATCCAGCCTGGAAGCTTGAAGCTTCTATTTTTTCAGACCCTCATGATGCCCTGAATTTGCATTTAATTGTAACCACTGGGCAGGCATTCCTTTCTTTTATGTGTGTTTATTTTCTATTGGAAGCAAATACTTCTCTTTGTTTCTCTCCCTTGCTCTCTTTTTTTTATTTTTTTTTATTTTTTATTTTTTATTACCAGGGCTTGAACTTGGGCCCTTGTGCTTTCCAGGCAATTTTTTGGTAGGGGGGGAAAACAGGATCTTGTGCTTGGGAGGCAGGCAACGGAACCACTAAGCTAAATCCCCAGCCTCTCTCTTTTTTGAGACAGGATTCAGCCTGGCCTTGAACTCATTAGGTAATCCAGGCTGGCCTTGAACTAACACAACGATCCTCTTGCCTCAGCCTCCAGAGTGCTGGGGTTACAAGCATGCAGTATCACACCTGACTGTCCCTTTTCTTAAATACCCATTCCAAAGGCTGGGCTTTCAGGGTGGATAGCCTGACTGCCTGTGGCTGCCCATCTTGCCCCAGGTGGTGCTCCCCACGTTTATCCTGGAGAAGCGTTCCCTGCTGGAGATGTACGCAGACTTCATGTCGCACCCGGACCTGTTCGTAGCCATCACGAGCGGCACCTCGGCCGAGGACCGGATGATCCGCTTCGTGGAGTACTACCTGACGTCGTTCCACGAGGGCCGCAAGGGGGCCATCGCCAAGAAGCCGTACAACCCCATCATTGGGGAGACGTTCCACTGCTCCTGGCGGGTGCCCAAGGGCAGCCCTGTGCCCAGCCCGGCGCCCGAGGAGGCCGCCAGCCCCACCACCGACTGCTACACAGTGCGCTTCGTGGCCGAGCAGGTCTCCCACCACCCGCCGGTGTCCGGCTTCTACGCAGAGTGCGCCGAACGGAGGATGTGTGTGAACGCGCACGTGTGGACCAAGAGCAAGTTCCTGGGCATGTCCATCGGCGTGACCATGGTGGGCGAGGGTGAGTGCGTCCCCGTGTGATTCACGCTGTGTCCGGCCGTGACGGGCAGGTGAGGGCCTGTGTGCCAGCCTCGTTCCCCTCTTTTCTGATTTTCAATATAAAATATTTTTACCAACAAAAAAATATGTAAGGGGCCGGGATTTAGTTCAGTGGTGCTGCCCCTGCCCAGCAAGCCCAAGTCCCAAGTTCGATCTGGTGATAAAAACAAAAGCATGTAAATAAAGGCATCTCTAATCCCTTCATGAAGAAAGATAAATTTAGTTGCTATCTTTTAATTTTCCTGTGTATATACTCATACTTTTAGTTTTATGAAATTAGGCTTCATTTTGTATGTCTTTAGTTTCATGCCCCACTTTTTTTATGCTACTATATTCATTTTCCCATATCATTGATTTTAAAAGTCATATAACACTGTTTGAAATGCATTTGCCATCATTAAATCATTTTTCTCTGGACACAGAAATTGTTTCAGATTTTCATTATTACAGAAATCACAAGAAATGTCTCCTAACCAGTCGTGGTGGTCATGCCTTTAATTCTAGTACTCAGGAGACTGAGGCAGGAGGATCTCAGGGAGTTAGAGGCCAGCCTGTTCCACATAATGGCTTCCAGGCCATTGTGCATTATGTATTATGGCTTCTAAATATATCTTTCTTTATATCATATATTTCTTTGGGAGCTATTCATGAATATTTTAAAAATACATTGCCAAATTTTGCTTCTCTTTCATCAAAAGGTATGAAAAAATAATTTGAAGGAACATAGTGGGTTTGAGCCAAGAATTCAAAATGAAAACTGCAGAAACCATTAAAGATTTAATGAACATATAATGACTAGAAAAAACTGGCATTTTTAACTTTAAAGGAAAACTTGTGAAAAGAATAATTTTTCAGATCGTAAGCTTACAATATCAGCATGACATAGCTCAGCCTGTAACTCTTCATGCTTTGAGATTGTTACTGTAGCCAGGAAGAAATTATTTAACCCTGTTTTCAGTTTTCCCCATTTTTAAATTCTATTGTGACATGTCTTGCTAATTTCCAAATAATATTTTCAAGTTAATTACAACTTACAGCATTAGAAAGTACTCATGTTGTTTTATTAGTTAAAAAAAATTTTGCCACCTTCAGATGGAAGCTCTATAACATCAGAGGTTGGTTTATTTATTTTATAAATGAAAAATCTGCCATCTAGCGGTGGCCTGACGGGTCTGGGTCATAAAGGCTGAGGCCAGGCGGGGTTTGGAACATTATTCTGTCCCTAAGGACAGTGGCTCCTTCATAGGATGAGAAAAATCAGAGCATGGTTGCCTCTCCCACTTCCAGGAAAGGAATTACTCAGGCAGTGAGGAAAGACCTCGATTCCCCATGCTTTAGTCATGAAGCATGCAATAGGAAGGTTTTTATTATGCAGGTGCTACTGTATATTCATGCACTGCACTTTGGAAATTAAATTGCCTTGTTTACCTTCAGCAGGAAGTAAATAAAATAAGGAAATGGAATTTATGATTATTCATTTTGCTTCTGTTAGGTGTTTGATAATAGGAAGAAATTCAACTTAATTGTTAAATAAATGAGATTTTAGAATACCAAATCTGTCGGGTGTGGCGGCGCACGCCTGTCATCCCAGCACTCAAGAGGCTGAGGCAGAAGGATCACTGTGAGTTGAAAACCAGCCTGGGCTACATAGTGAGTTCCAGGTCAGTCTCAACTACATAGTGAGACGCTTTCCAAAACAAACAGAATACCAAATCTGGGTTATTCAGACTGGTTGTATGTCTCTTCAGATTTTAGGACTCTTAAAAACAACAGTCCATCAACCCAGTTTATAAGATACTTTTACAAAAGTGATAATATGCGGTCTTCCCTGCAGAGCTGGCCGTCTTACTGACTGGCCTCTCTCCCGGCAGCTCCCCTTGCAGTGCAGTGCGCTCACCAGGGCTGCACTGTCTGGGAGCTGGCGCCATTCTAATGGCGCTCACTCGCCATGGGCTACTTACTCTAAACCTCACTTTGTCCTGGCTCAGCCTGAAAATTAACTGTTAAAATAGTTTCCGTGGAGCTGCGTATTTAGCTGCAGCCTGGGTGTCCTCAGTGTCTCCCGATTATCTCATGCTGATCAGTTACTCATCCCCTTCTGTGTTTCTTGAAATCATCTTTATTTTTTTTCTCTGTACTGGGGATCGAATCCAGGACCTTGCACTTGCAGGCAGGCGTGGCACCACTGAGCTGCATCCCTGGCCCATTGAAATCACCTTTAGACAGTATCACTTAATAATGGAACAAGCCCCATCAAAATAATCCTTTCTGAAACCACCACTTAACATAATATTTCAACAGAATTTATTATGACCATAGTTTTTATGATAGAATTCTTTTTTCTTCTTTAACACGCATACACTAGAGCGAGAGGCCTTTCCCACCGTGCTGAGTTAAGTCCTCTGCCCTTCTGAGTGGCTGTCTGGTTGTGTGGACTGCTGGCCGTGGCACCAGGACGCAGAGCAGCAGGGCCCCAGGTGCTGCTCGGGCTTTATTTTACTGTGGGTGCGTTAGAGGAAGCTCGGTCTGGTCCCCCAGACATGTCCTGCCCCATGAGCTCCGCAGGTTTTGTCAGGTCACAGTGAAAATAATCCTGATTCACTGTCACCCACAGTTAAACGAAGATTAAATGAAATAATGATGCTTACTGCTAGACAGGAAAAACTCGGGTGTGTGTGTGTGTGTGTGTTTCCCTGTTGTTTATAAAGATGCTGACACCCCCCTTGCTCTCAGGGGTCCTCAGCCTGCTGGAGCACGGTGAGGAGTATACCTTCTCTCTACCATGCGCATACGCCCGCTCCATCCTCACAGTGCCCTGGGTGGAGCTGGGCGGTAAAGTGGGCGTGAGCTGCGCGAAGACCGGGTACTCGGCCAGCATCACCTTCCACACCAAGCCCTTCTATGGCGGCAAACTGCACCGGTGAGGACCTGAGTGGGCTCGACCTGTGGGCTTCCCCTCCAATCCCTTAAAACCACTCCTGGTTTTCCTGCTGCTTTGTTTTATTCTTTGAGATTTATTCATGTTTGCGTTTTGCTTGATAAATTTTGTCTCTCAAGGTGTTGTGGAAGTCATGACCTAGGTGGGTCTCTTCATTTTGTCTGAGGGTTGGTTATTCCTTGGCAGTACTGGGATCTTGCATGTGCCGGGTGTGCCCTCTGCCACTGAGCTGTATCCCCTGGGTTTTAAAATAGTTGGCGTTATTATGGTGTCAGATCTCCCTGGTGAACTCACTAACAGCATCACAGGAGAATTTCTAACCAAGGCATACTCAGTCTCTGTCCAGTTTTGCCTTGAAGAGAATTAGGGTTTGGATCCAGACCTCAGTGGGGGTGGCTTTTGCTACCAACTCAGATGAAAAGATGTCTAATCCAAGAAACCCAGCATGCTAGCACATGCTTGTAATCCCAGTACTCAGGAGGCTGAGACAGGAGGGTCACCACAAGTTGGAGGCCAGCCTGGACTACATAGTGAAACCCTGTCTCAAAAAACAAAACAAAAAAACTGTCCCAGAGGCTCAGTGGGTGAAGCTATGAGCAGCAGCAGTGAAGCAGTAGCGTCTCTGTGATTTCATCCGGGAGCCAGCCCATTCTTACTCCTGCCCTGGCTCCTTAGTCTCCTTGGCATTTGCCCAGGTCCCTGGACCACAGGAAGACGCTAGCTCTTTCCTCAACCCCTGATGTCTATTCTGACTCCTGAAAGTGTGGGGAAGTTTTCCTATAAACTTACTTTCTCTTTTTTTTTTTTTTTTTTTTTT